AGGAGAACAAAAAAAAAAAAAAAAAGAAAGAAAAGGGAGGGAAAGAAAGGAAAGAATTAAAACCGCAAACGAAAGAAAGTTTGCTCGGTTCGTCTGTCGAGATTCGAAGTCGATTCGCGTCGGGATTACTTCGATATACATATATATATATATGTATCAGCTCCATATTTACACACACGCTCGACATATGGACATTTTCAACCATGGAGACAAAGGAGGAAATGGAGCAAATTTTTGATACCTGGAACTTTTAGTCGCGCGACAGACACGGAATTTTTGAAAGATCGAAATAAACCCGTCGCGATGTAACCCAGTCGACCCAGGCGGCTTACGGAACTCTTCGTTCTATTTAGCTTCTTCTTTTCGGTCCACGAATTATTCAAGCAAGTCTAACCAATCTTCGACAGAGCGATCTTTCCAAGTAACCGATCGTTTCTGCGCGTCTGATCGCGAAACGACTCTTTGTGTACGTGTGTCTGTCCATGTGTACAATGAGTGTGTATAGAATCTGTAACTGATCCTTCCCGACTGTGGTGGAGGTGGCATGCGTGTGACGGAAATCGGTGGCAGTCGAATCTTCCTGTCTTCTTGTTACACTCCAAAAATTGGCCATCTCGTCGCAAGGCATCGAGCAATTACGTTACGTTTCACCGTCAACGGAGTCTCGCGAGAGGGAAGCTTCGTCCCTCGCGTTCCTCTCTTTCCGTGACTCCATCAACGATCATCGCATACGTAAGGTGTACTGTCGTTTACGATCATATCTCGACGAAGCGGTGATCGTGACAATGATATTCACTTGGCCCATAACACGCAGTTGTTCTTTGCAACAACATAGACACCCGTCGATGCCCAAAGATCGATTGCGCTCGCGGTCGTCTTTATTTCACAGTTTACATCCGCTTTGCGAAACGTTACGTTTCTTTCTCGAGCGGCGGGCGAAAGACGACGGCGAAAGCTCGATGCTCCGCATCGAAGCAACGGTGCATGCATGCAAGAATAAAGAAGTACGTCAACGTGCAAGTGATCACGTGCGAATGCAACCAGGCGATGAGCGTGCGGGGAGCTTTCTCAGTTACGTTCATTGTGCGTGCTAGTCGGATTTACTCGAGGCGGTCTCGCCTCTGTTTCGACGTATCTCGTGGGGAGAAGTTCGTTCGGAAACTGAAAACAACGAGCCGAAAAAAGAAGAGAGAGAGAGAGAGATAGATAGATAGATAGATAAATAGACAGATAGATGGATAGATAGAAAAAGAGAGAGAGAGAGAGAGAGAGAGAGAGAGACGAACGAAAAAAAAAAATTCGATAGTGATAGTTATGCTCTTTGTATCTCCTTCTCTACAAAGTCTGAATACCGATCAATGTGAAATGCTAGTGTGTCCTGTAGTGTCGTGTTTGGCGTGAGTTTCGTGTGTATTTCGTATAATAACGCGGTACTGCGAAAACACGTTTAACCTCTTGCGCTGGAACGGCGTGCCACGCACGTCGTCGAGAATTTTTTGTTCCAAATTGCCACATTTTCTTAGTTTTCAGTATATAAATATATATACTTAAATATAATATACTTAGTATATAATATATAAAATTACATTTTATATACTTAATATATAAAATATATACAAGTAATAAATACTTATATATAAACATAAGTATTTAAATGTAAAATATATATAAGTAATAAATACTTATATATAAACATAAGTATTTAAATGTAAAATATATACAAGTAATAAATACTTATATATAAACATAAGTATTTAAATGTAAAATATATACAAGTAATAAATACTTATATATAAACATAAGTATTTAAATGTAAAATATATACAAGTAATAAATACTTATATATAAACATAAGTATTTAAATGTAAAATATATACAAGTAATAAATACTTATATATAAACATAAGTATTTAAATGTAAAATATATACAAGTAATAAATATTTATATATAAATATAATATAATATAAGTAAATATATAAGTAATATTTATATATATAATAAGTAATAAAATTAAATATATATATATATAAGTAATATTTATATATAAGTAATAAATACTTATATATAAATATAAGTATTTAAATGTAACTCAGGCAAAACAAGTAATAAGTTATTACTTCTCAATAATTTCTATCCAGTGATATTATACCGACGAGTTCAAAAGGAAAAGAAAGCGGCGAATTATTGTCCGGTCACTCGTCATGGTCCGCGAACCAGTTGCCAGCGCAAAAGGTTCAACAGTGAGACGCAACGCGATCTAAATACGATCTAGTTTACGAAATAGCTCATGGTTAAACGGGTTTTCTGTTCTTCGTTACGCGTACGTTTGCGTCTATAGACAACGATAAACTTTCAAAGATTCATTTTGAATATCGTGTTACACGATCCGGCATGTGTCGAGTCAACGAAGATCATAGATCGAGGAAATTTTTGAAGACAAACGTTCCACGAACTTCGCTTCTCGATCTTTCCCGATTCTACGATCCTCGTGGAAAATACATAGACAGACGAATAGAACGCGAAAGTTCGTTAGATTGATATTCAGAGCCGAGCGTTCGCTGTGATTTATCGGCGGACTCGATCGAAAGAAGAAACGAGAGTCAACAAAAAGACACGCGTGCGATCTGTTCGGCGTCTGTTCAGCCCTGAACACAAATAAGTAATCTCTAAATAGTGATCTATATACTCGTACATACACGTAATCTTGCAATACACGGATATTTTTAAGTACTCGAGTCGACAAAATACTATCTATTCTTTAAAAAAAGAAAAAAAAAAAAGACAAAAAAAAGTATAGAAGGGCTCTAATTGCACTCTAATAAGCGAAACTTACCAGCCTACTTCGAAAACTGATCCTGCGACCGTCTACCGACGTGAATTTCTTTACTAAGTTTACTTTTCTTTCTCGACCGAGCGAAATGTTTGCGCGAAAACGGCAGCAAGCATGTCGCAGACATCATTTTTCGAGGGGAATCCGGCTCGGAGCGATCGCACCGATCCAGCCGGCTACTCTAAGCGAGTATGTTCTTTTGATAATCTGTTCGGTTGAGGAGCAGATGGGATTTGTTGGTATAGTGGAGCTTACCCTGACGCCGAATGCGGCGATCTTCAGTATGCACTCGACGGTGAACATCCCCGTGAAGCACATGTTCATGTACTTCAGCGCGTTCTTGTACGCGTCGCTTTGCCGATGGAACTGCAATGCATATACTGACAAACACACGGCCGAAAGAGACAGACAAACGGACGTACAAGCCTATAAAATTCCCGCGTATTCCGACTACGGGCCACACGAGAGTAATTAACCCGTTCTTCCGTCTTTCTTCGCCTCTTTCCGTTTTCACTTGTTGAAAAAACCGAAAGAAGCGAAAAAAAAAGAAAAAAAAAAAGAGACCGAGACACGGAAGAAGAGGCAGGCTTCTTCTCATTATCGAGCGACCTGTCCATCGACACGCTCGTTTCAAACGATTCACATATCTCTTTTGCTGCGACGTCGAAGGAAAATCATTGCTTGTGTTGGAAATCAATTCGTTCCAAGTTTAGCGCGTTGATAAATTTAGCATCCTCTCTGGCTTAGGATGTCGCGATGACGATATACATCCGAGCGTCGCGTATCATTGGACAGTTCCCTCGGTGTGACACGGTCTTACAAATAGAGACGTGTAAAGTAGAGTGCGAAATCTGTAAGTTATACATTATATATATATATATGTATATGTATATATATATATACATACATATATAATGATGTATATATATATAGTGAGAGACTTTCCAGTCGACAGAAAAAGGGAGACACATGGGTGTATAATATTAGCATTAACCTAGATACATGTATCTGTACGACCGTACAAGGTGTATACGGCACAGTAACGGTGACATTAACAGGATTGTTTCCTTTTTTTATATTAGCACAGTGAGGGGAATTGGTTTCAGACGGTACTGTATTAAGAGTGTGGAACTGGTGTGTGAACACGACTGTACCGATCGAAAAATCGAATTTTTATACCAGTACGATCACCTTCTCGGTGATCAATCGTACACAGGAATGAATTCAGTAACGATCAGGTGCGACAAAATGACCGAGAAGATGAAATTGTTTTCGCATCGTTATGCTGTCGTAAGTTTGGTATCGTTATATGTTTGATAGAATAAATAAAGTAATTGTAGGGGTCACTAGATTAGGGATCACCTTACCGATTTCAATGATTTTTGGATATAATTTTCAACTTTCTCTTTTCTTTCTTCGCCCTCCGGCCTTAGTTTCCAGAGAATATTTCGCATTTGTATATATCTCGCGTTTCAATTTGTAAACATGTAGAAGACAGATGTGCTCAATTAGAAAAAAAACGCTTAAAAAAAAAATGAGCGTCAACATTGGTTCGGGTTAGATAAATTTCTGGCTGACAGAAGCTTCTTCCTTGGATACTATTATTGATTCTTTTGTTTTATTTCTGTACGTATATATAAATTCAAACGTAATATAGTGTCGCTACTAAGTGACTTTTCGAGTAGTTATCAATCGCAAGGACTGATCGAAGTCAATCTTGAAATTTATTTATCCGAAAAAATTAAATATTTTCCCAAAGAAATCATTAAAACGAATTCAAGGTAATGATCCCATCTTTTCCCATAGATGTTGTCGTAAAACATCTTGCCTTTCCAAAATCCTTCCCAGTCCCTTCTTGCTTTGAATTGCTTTACGTATGCATAAAAAAATGAAAAGTAGTCAATCCGTTTTCAAAGTATAAAAATATACAGTAAATATACCGTCGTCACTCTATTTTCAAATATAAGTATAAAAAAGAAAAAAAAAAGAAATTTGAGTTTTCTGTTTTCAAATATAAGGATAAAAATATACAGCAAATATAAAGTCGTCAGTCTATTTTCAAATATAAGTATAAAAAAGAAAAAAAAAGAAATTTGTTGACTGAATCCTCAGTGTCATTAAGGCGACAACTAATACCAATACTAACACACATTTAGAATATAAGAATTTATACCTAATTTTTAATATCTAATACGGAGGTTATATGCAGAAATAGTTATTCAAGATCATATTTTGAATAACATATCCAAAAATCATCGAAATCGGTGAGGTGTTGCTTAATCCATACGATTATCGAATTCACGATTTCGAAAAACACCAGAATTCTGCTATGTTAGAAAATTCTTTAATAAACAAATATTTTAAGATGAAGAACATCGATTATGAATTAATCGATTTTGAATTGAGAATAAGATTAATAAATTATTGGATGCAAATGTTACTGAGAAAGTCATCCCGGAATTTCTGACCGGTGGCGTATATTAAAAAGAATCGTAAACAGTATCGTTTGGTCGTTTGCGTCAGGATCAGTTTCGTGATGGAGAGATATGAAAGTTTGGTATCCGGAGAAGAGTCAGAAAGTCATAAGAAACGCAGAACGAATCGTAACGGCAAAAAAAAAAAAAAAAAAAAGAAAAAAGAAAAAAGAAAAAAAGACAATGAAAGGGAAGAAAATGACGAACTGAAAAGAATTAAGATATCAAGAGCAAGCTAAAGCACGACCGAAAGAAAAAAAAGAATCGGATGGAAGTTCGTAAGAGGAAGAGGGGCAGAGAGTGTGTTGGAAAAAAAATAATCTCTCCGCTCAAGGTATGTACGAAAATGTTTTCTCTTTTTTGTCTGTTCAGTTCTGAGAAGGTAGAAAGGGGAGGATTGAATCGTGCGTGTGTCCCGTGCAAGAAACACGTCATTTTGGTAATGGAACAAACACACACACACATATTCGGTAGATCTCGTGTTCGTTTGCTCGACGTACAGTCCGGTCGAGTTGATTTTGCTTGCGAGCAGCCAGCATGCGACACGCAATTTTGTGTATAATGAACAACGAATGTGACATCTCGTGTGCGACACGTGCTACGAAAACGTATCAGAAACGATTACGTGCCTTTGAGCAAAGAGATCGAGCCCGCTTGACGATTCGGCCGATGTGTCAAGCTTCAACGTTTGACGCATCGACGAGAATTTTCGAGAAAGGAAAACGATCTCGCTTCTCTTTCCTCTCTGCAATATTCAAATATCGTGTGCGCTTCATTCTTAAAACAATGTGCAGTATGGTGTAAGAAAATGATTTCTGACAACGCGTTGTCTTGCATATTCCGATTACGTTTTCAAAAATAAAGAGTAGATGAGAAACGAGCGATACTCGTGTATCTCTGGCATAGCTCTGAACTTGACAACTACATAAATGTACAGAGATGTACATATGTTCGTGAGTTGACTCGACAAGACGTGTCGCGTGCATCCTTTGAAACTTCTACGATCGCGTTGTTCGAGCGTTGCAGATCAGAATGTGAGGCTAATTCGTCATTCGCGTCTCTAATGTAATTGTGACGTCGCGGACGAGGTTAAAAAACACATTTCTCGTGATAAGCCTTCTAACGAATGCTGCAGACAATCTGTGTGGCACAGGCAGCTCAAGTATCCAAGAATTAAAAAAAAAAAAGAAGAATTAGAGACAGAGAGATGAAGAAAAAGAAAGAGAGAAAGAGCAAAAAAGAGAAGAGACAGAGAGAGAGAGAGAGTGTGTGTGTAAAAGACAGAAAGAGAGAGAGCAAAAAATGTGTGCTCAAAAGGCACGTGGATTCGCGCGTAGATCTGTTGTATACCGCAGTGTTTTTTCTCGTTCTTTCGGCCGTGTTTTTTTTTTTTTTTTCTTTTTCATTCTCATTGATCTTTAACTGAATCAAGCTAATTACTTGTGCAACGCTTCGAACCCCGCCACCAGTTCAAACATGGGTTTGTCAAGGGGTACGAGTCGAACGCATATCGTGTGTGGGTGTACGTGTGTGTGTGTATGTGTGTGTGGGTGTGGGAACACATCGATATTGGATATTGGTTTTTCCACGTATCTTTGAATACGTCTACTATCAAGACGAGGACACAGCAGCGAGCATGCAGTAAGAACAGAAGCGAAAGGGCAGAAGAAAAATGACAACGGAGAGAAACGAAACGATCACGGAACAGAGAACAAAGTGGAAAGAAGCGAAATGGAGGAAAACCGAAAGAAAAGAAAAGGGAAATGATATCGGAGAAGAGTGAAAGAAAATGTTCGATAAATGCAAGAGACCGACGTGGGTATAATGTAGGATAGAGCAAAGCGCGAGTGCCCGTGAAATAAAATTCAATCGAATTTTCAACGCGATCGAATTCGAGCGCTCGTGAGAGAAACCGATTGGATCGCAAGAGGTAAAATGTGTATTTGAAAAGTATGTATTTCTATAGAAAATCCAATCAGCTTTAGCCAAATTGAACGAATAAGAGGAAAGGGGGGGGGGGGGAAGAGAAAGAGAGACAGACAAACATTAAGCAGACAGATAGAGGGACAAATAGAGAAAGAAAAAAGATGTCGGATACTCGCGCATGCCTGGATAAAATAAAATTTTGAAATGAATGTGAAAGAGCATAAAATAAAAAGCATCCAGTTAGGCTATAAATTACGAGTGTCAAACGAAAATCAGTTCCAAATGGAATCGAAAATGACGAAAGAAGGAGGAAGAAGAGAAGAGGAGGTTTCGATTTTTTTTTTTTTTTTTCAGAGGAAGACACAGAAGTATTCAACATCGTGTACACGTATCAATGGATACAAGGATAACAATTATACAAAGAACAATAAATAAATTTGCAGGCAAGAACAACAATGTCCTCGTACAGATATAACGTTATATCTTACAGTTGCTTCGAACTCTCCATTGTGCGCGTTTGCCGAGAACGACAAGTGATACATTCTCGCGATTCTCGTGGCGACGAGAATCAGTGTTAGGCTGCTTTTCGATTGGTTAAAGTTGCCAAACGAGAGAGTACGACTTGACGAAACGCGACAAAAAATCAGGTATACCGGGGAAGGAAGTTTTTCATGTCACCTCAAGATGGAACACGACGCAACGATTGCTATTTACATATAAAAAAAGATAGACAGGTACGCAAGCAGGATATCAACGCGTGCTTCCTTCTGGCGCTCGCGTCTTCTCCGACGTGCGTTATCAGTTATCAGGCACGTAACGTCCACGAGAAAAATCAATTACTTCTCTTCAAAGACGTATTTTAGAGAGAATGAGAAGGGGGACAAACGAGCGAATCATTGACGCTTACCTTCATCATGAGCAGTACTGTGTTTAATACGATGAGACCCATGATAAAATATTCGAATGGCGTCGATACCACTATTCTCCAGATTTTGTACTTTACGCTGTTCCGTTCTTTCGGCATGTACCTCTCCAGAGGACGAGCTTGTATCGTAAAGTCTATACAAGATTTCTGAAACGAATATAAAATGATCAATGATCGTGTCACTCTGTTGTTTCTTTCAACCAAAGAGGTTGGCAACATTCTACCACGTTAGCAGAGACTTTCTTATTCGACTGTTGTTAGCGTTAAACGACCGTCGGTATCTTCTAGACAGATCTATATCTAGTTAACAATTCAGGCCAACCAACCTGATTCTTGTCGATTTCACCGTCTTGCAATTCAGCTTCTCCTTGCTCTTGGAAAGTAATGATAATCAAGGCCACGAAGATATTGACGAAGAAAAATGGAAACACGATGAAGTAGACGATATAGAAAATGGACATCTCTATACGAAAATTTTGAATGGGGCCCTTGTCCTCGTACGTGGCCGCCATCGAGTTCTGCAGGATTTGCGGCCAACCCTCGCCAGTTTGCACCGCGAACAACGTCAGCATCGCGGCCATCACGTTGTCATAGTGAAAAGACTGCGACTGCCATTCCCGTCTTTTTGGCTCTGGCAACATGGCGCCCTCTTCGAAAACGAAATATTGACCCCTGCGAGGCACAGTGAGGAAAGCAGAGTGGAACGTAATTAGAATTTAAGCTGAACCATCGAAACGAAGATGATGATTTTTAGAATAAAACCTGTGCTTTATATATTCGTCGATCAGTTTCGCTGCTAAGAAAGAAAGAGAGAGAGAGAAAAAAAAGATTCGAATACTCACTGGCAATCCTGTTCCGTATATTTGCTCTCGTCGTTGCAGTAGAAAAACTTGCCGTTGAACAGTTGCACCGCGATCACAGCGAATATGAATTGGAACAATATATACACTATGAGAATGTTAATGACGTTTTTAAGACTGTTCACTACGCAGTCGAACACCGCCTTGAGCTTCGGCACTCTCTTGATCGTCTTTAATGGCCTGAGCACTCGAAGTACTCTCAACGATTTGATTGTCGAGAGATTTTGTCCAGCCGAACTACCGGTCATATCGAAAGCGAACGAGACCGCGGCGCATATCACAACCACCGCGTCCATAATGTTCCAGAACTCGCGCAGATACGAGCCCGGGTGAAGGATAATCCCAAGATCGATGATCTTCAGTATCATCTCGACAGTGAAGACACCGGTGAACGCGTAATCGAAGTAATTCAGAATTTCGTTCCTCGGCGAGTCCTCCCATACGGGATCTTCGGCGGCCAACGCGATACTCGACAGCGATATCACCACCATTATGAAGAAGTCGAAATATCTCAGGTTGACGACCCAATGGGCGGCTCTTCTTACGCTGCAATCAAACGTACGTTTTATCTCTTTGAACCTCACATTTTATACACGTATATATACAGGGTGGGCCGGAATTCGTAGTACAACCGAGCAGGAGATGATTCTACGTCAAAAAATAAGAAAAAAATTTGGTACAACATTTTTTCTATCTGCGGCTCGGTTTTCGAGAAAATCGAGAAAAACTTTAAAGTTTGTTCGTCTTCGTTGTTAGAGGATGTACCCTTGGCTACTATAAGGAGTATGATTTTCCAACATGACGGTGCACCAGCACATTACACGAAGGAGGTTGAAAATTTTTTAAATCAAACGTATTCGTGTTGGATCGGCCGCGATGGTAAGGTACGCTGGCCACCAAGGACCTCTAGATCTTTCTTTATGGGGGTATATCAAAAAACAAGTTTATAAGGGCAATATTTCAAATATTACACATTTGAAGCAAAAGATTATAGAGCAATTCGAGAAATTAAAAACCGATATCAGCTTACGTTCTGTTCAGATATCATTAATTCGTCGATTATGTATGCAGCTACGATAATACTTGTAACAGTGTACTGTATCGTAGTATTGCAATGGAAAATAGTAACAAGGAATAAAAAATTAATTATCAGTAGTAACACTCTGTACTGCTTTAACCACACGATAAATAATGTTTTTAAACACTATCTCGGACGAAGATAACCGCGATAGAAGAATAGATAGAATAGAATCGTTCACAAAGATGAACAAACTCTAAGGTCGATTTCCTCGAAAACCGAGCCCCAGATAAAAAAAATGTTCTACCAAATTTTTTTTCTTATTTTTTGACGTAGACTTACCCCCTGTTTGGTTGTACTACGAATTCCTGCCCACCCTGCATGTATCGTACGAATATTATCGACTGAAAATTATCTTACGGATTCGTAGGGGACAGTATAAACATGGAGGAGTATGGCAGCATTGGTTTTGGTCCCGTGTCATCATCTTCATCCTGCTTTTTCTCTTCTTCGGATGATTGTTTTCCACCTTTTCCGTCTTTGCTGAAATCCACAGATAATTACATTCGACGTGCACTATTTGAAGAGAGTTGAAAAAAAAACAAAATGAAAAAATAGGATGGATATAAGAGAAAAACTTACAAATTCTGGTTCGGACTTGGAGGGCTGATTTCTACCTTGGGCGCGCCACCGTCTATCGGATTCTGCAGGGACTGGATCTCTTTCTCGAGCTCCTGCGCCTGCTTCTGTTTATCCTCTACTTCCTCCTCGTCCTCGGCAGCGCTCAGCTCCTGTGCGTTTGCCAGATTGTCGACGGCGATAGCCAAGAACACGTTCAACAGCGTGTAGTTGCCAAACAGCACCAACACGATGAAGTAGAGCGAATAAATCATGCCCTTCTTGTGTCCGCCTTGCGACTCTATACCCTGGTACATCACTTCGTTCCAATCTTCTCCGGTCAGGATCTGCCAGGATCAGTTAAATTACATTCAACGATATTGTAAAATAAGCCAACAACGCGTGATCTATTTCTTCTATTTGCCAAACTACTTTCGTCTAAACATTGCGGTTCGAAGGAAAGACTATGTTGTATGTGCTCTTTCCTTCCTTCTTGACGGGATACGACGAGCAAATATGTAAGTAGATAGCGATGGAATGAAACTTACTTGGAAGACAGTGAGCAGCGCGATGGGAAAGGTGTTGAAGTTGGTGGGCGGCGTGCCATAATCGAAGTTGAACTGGCCGCCAAACAACTGCATACCGAGCAGCGCGAATATGAGAATGAAGAGGAAGAGCAAGAAGAGCAGGGAGATGATGCTACGCATCGAGCTGAGCAGCGATATTACGAGGTTTCTCAGGCTCTTCCAATATTTGGTGACCTTAAAAATTCGCAGGAGTCTAAGGGCACGTAGGACGGAGAGGCCGAAAGAGCCAGACTTCACCTCGGACCAGATCACTTCGAAGATCGATCCCGAGATGACTACGCAGTCGAAACGATTGAAGCTCGAGTCGAAGTATGTGCGAGGACCGAGCGCGTACACCTTTATGAACATCTCCAACATGAACAGAGCCAGGAACACGAATTCTGCGAAGTCTGTCAACACCCGTGTCAACCGTTTTGATACCATTCTCAAATTCGAGAAACGAATGGTTGCTTTTTTTATACAGAATAATCCTCTCGCTGGGTTAACTCAAATTCAACGACGCCAATTACAGTGCTAAAGAAACTACAGTTCGCTTAGAAATTCATGTTGCACAAATCCGCAAGTATAAATATAGGCCTTTTTGAACTATTAAAATTTAGTTACAAAATGAAAAATATTTACGACAATTATTAACTATTTAACTGTAGGATTCGAGTTAGAAATTTATCTTTCTGCGAACGGATAATAAAGAAATTGTACAATTTTTGCAATCTTTTTGTCATGCAGTATATATATCATAATGATATATTCGTGTCGATATACATGTATACAAATATTTGTGTAAATTTATACTTTTATGGATTTACCATGAAAGTTATCTACTTGGAATATTTCATTCATCTTTGCAAATTATGTTATACATTCTGTGTATTTTTGCATTTTTAAATTTCTAATCAACGCATAAACATTTTCGTCATCAAGAGTCTTTGTCAATCAACAACCTTGTTGAGTTAACTATACGATAAGATTACCCTGTACATCTGCTCGAATCGTTTACTTACAGAGGAAATCGGTCAGCCATTGTGGCTGACCGTAATGTTCCACCGCTACGCAGACGGTATTGAAGAACACAAGAACGATGACGAACCAGTAAAACTTTTGTGATTTTACGGACTTTCGTATCCAGTACCTAAATCTTCTCTCAGCTAGCCAAAACTGCTTACAAGGTCCCTTTTCTTTCGTCGAGGAGGACCTCGAAAATCCTGTAAACAGCAAGTCGTTCGTTTTAATGACCAGTTTAGAATGTTCATAGTATCATTCCGATGCCAGTCGGTTGATTTTCTTCGTCACAACATGTTCTTTTTTTCTTTTTTTCTCCAAAACAATCGAGTCATTTTTCCAATGAATTTAGTCAAGTAATCGTGTTGTAACTTGTTATGTATGTGCCAACGCTTTCTTTGATAATATGACAACAAATTATTTCTCAGAAAGACAAGCACGACATTGGAAAACGGTAAAAGTACTGGTTATCCGACATCGAGATCTGATTCGAGAAAGTTTCTTCTATGTGACTTTTGTTGCTAATAGGTTTTCCCAAGTTCGATTTGAAAATCCGTTTACCTTCAACCTTCATTTTTCTTTTTTCTTCTTGTTCAATTACTTAGTATATAAATACACAATGGACAGAGACACATCTACTCTATACTCTCTAACAAGCGAGTGTTTCTATCTATTCTGATACCGATGAAGCTAATCTATGTATGACTAAACGTCGAATGCTACACCATTTAATCATTTTCTCTTTCTATTTGCGGCGCTCTGTTTCGTCAAACAGACTCCACCGCCGGACATACCTGGACATTGGCGATTTTATAAAACTTTTCATCAATATCAATGACGAATAAGAATGTCAATAAACGAATGAAACGAGTGAAAAGAAAAAGTTCACGATTTTCGCGAATGCCCACGATAAATGTACACAAATATAAGAATACATAACCACGCCAGCCAACAGAAGCAATTCCTAGAAAATAGAAGATAAAACAAATTGACAGCTCGATTCAACGAAATTTCTGGGTATTGAGAATTTCGTGCGTTCATAATTTCTGGGTGTTTCAGAGACGACTGGAAATCGATTCAAATGATCTGCAGCGAACATTCCCGGCCCTGTTATTAAATATATTCGGATTTCTTCGCAATTACGATAATTACAGTAACTGCTTCTACTTTATACAGGATGTATCAAGTTGTGTGATACAACTGGACATACATAAGTAGATTCCTTAAAAATTAATCGAAAAAAAATCTAGAGTAATGATTTTCCACTTGACGTTTCCTTTCACGAAAGATTTAGGCTTGAAAAGAGTGCTGTTGCCACACTTTTGGTTTAATACTACATGTTAATATTAGATGTTAGTGGAAGTGAAACTTATCGTAATGGAAAAATTGTTGAAAATGTCCATCATTTCGTCTCGGACAAACTATTATTCGTTGAATCATAATAACATAAACAAATGTCAATATACTGTGTCCGTACTTGATCATGTGCTTTAATCATGCTTTCTTTTAATTGTTCACTGCTTGTATGATCTTCAACGTACACAAGTTTTTTAATACTATTTTTTCATAAGAAATCCACTCGAACGATAGTTCTAGTATATAGAAAGTTCAATTATGGGGTCAGGACAGTGTGAAATTTTCAAAAAAATCGGTTTTTGTTTTAAATAGTAGTTTGAAGTCTTAGAAATAAGATACAAAAGGTCCTGGCTTTTAAAACGACTTATTTTGGGGTGTAATAATAAATCCGCGGATACAGAATAATTGAATTTGTATCACTGTTTACAACTTTAAACAGTATTATAAAGTGTAAATCGTGTGATTCAAATATTATTTTTGGCAAATCGAATATTAGGGGACTTGGATTCAATTTAGTTGTCAATTGTAAGAGTTGTGAGCCTCGATATATAAGTAAAAAAAAATAAGTAACGGATACATATGAAAAATGACGAAACTTTAAACTGAAAACTTTAAACTCGTTTTTCTCGAAACTAGGTTTTTAGAAACGGTGTGCAAGATATCTCGGAATCTAACCAACCGATTACTGTGAAACTTGGAAACGTATCTTTAGCGTAACATTTACTAAAGATTGACGATCGAACATTTTTTAATTTTTAACAATTTCGAAAAATATAAACAAGAAACGTAGAAATTTTTGGCATAAATTCGATACATCAAAAACAAATAGTTGCTATTTTCACAATTTTCACAAAAATAAAAATGTTGGATCGTCAATCCCTAGAGAATGTTGTTTACTTTTGAACTTTTTTTTGCCTTTTTGTTGCAGCTATTCCTGTGTGGCTGGAATCATACACACCGATAGGCAATGTAAAAAAAAGTTATGTAAAAGGATGTCGTTAGAAAGTTAAACAAGAGCCCTCTTTTTTTCCTTTTTATTGTTGCTTTCTATAGTTCATAATGTGTTAAAATAAACCACAAAAGCTCATGTAAATCAAATATGTAGTTTTTTTTTTACTAGCCCTCCAAATTATACGTAATTTTTAGGCCCGTCACACTGTCCTGTCCCCTTATATGACAATTACTTGGTGCCAACGTTACGAAGTTGAGTGTCATCACTGGGATCGTCTAAACAATTTCCACGCCTGTTTTATACTTTATATACGATGTTTTGTGCGTTTGTGCTTTGAAACCCAGAAATCTCGAACAATCGCGATCACATTGTTCTGTATGTACATGTATATGAACACGTGGACCCGTGTATGTATATGCATGTTTATGAGTATCGATATGATTCGTTACGTGTATCACAAATACCTAAAACGAAAGGATGTTTAAAAGGAAAAACACAGAGGATACAGATAGGAAAAGAAGTTACGAATACAGCCTCGTTTACGTTGCTCTTTGCGAATCGTGACACTGACTGGTTGTAGTTACCTTTCAGTTTTTTCTTAGGCACTGAAACAAGAGGAGCGTCTGACAGCGTGTGATTAGAATGTTTGTCGCCGTGGTCGAGGGAATTAAAGTCGCTCTTTATCCGATGCGAAACAGAAATCAGAAGGAACGTCAGATCGTCCCACGAGCAATTCTCGCTTGTACCAACTCTGGTCTTTCTTCACCGTTTTCTCGATCACGGACAGAATTTCGACGGGAAATCGAAGGAAATGTTACGTAAATGTTACTCGTGAGACCATCAGACTTTGTTTTATTACAATGTCGATATAAGTATACATGAATATCCAAAACGTGCCGATAGAAAATAACGTTGAGAAAGAAAGAGAAAGAGAGAAACAGATTTCTTTTCAATGCGAACAGACAACGACCATACGACGTAAACAGTTCGTTAATGCTTCCTAACGCAATTATAAACGATAAATGAACGATGGTCGTGACATGGACTCTGTCTATCAAACGAAATTTGATTCGAGCCTGAATCATTCCAAGGATTATCGATGATTTTGATCTTGGAAGAGAAATCACAGAAGATCGCGTTAAAGGAAAGTTTGGGAAAGAGGGGAAAATACAACTCACCGTCGTCCTGATCGTCATCGCCTTCTTCTTCCTCCGTGTCTGTGCTTTTGCTCTTGCCAAGCTTTTTCTTTTTCGCCTCGGCTCTTTTTCTTCCTACAAACATACGTATACGTTCACTCGATACATTCTAACCAGCTCGTCGATCAGAAAGAATCTCATAACGAGATCCAGCCACGAACCTTCTAATATGTGCTTCTTCTCCTCTTCCGTGGTCCTTTCTTCCGCGAGTATTACCTCCTCTACAAATAATAAAGGATATTTAGTTTGCACACGTATAAAGAAGACGAAAGCAAACTCGGTCGAACGAAAAAGAAAAAAAAAGAAGAAGAATCGACTTATCGTTAAACGTAAGATGCGTAAAATTACTGATGCAAAAAGGACAAAAGCTAGGAGATTTTCGCCTAGAAGAAGACGTTAGCCAAATAAAGAGTGCTCCGATCGATAATCGACGTAGCTGGCATGTTGACTTTCTAACCTGCTTTGCAGATCCAATTCAGGTAGCAGTACAATTCATGCTCCAGCTGCTGCTGTCTTCGCAATTTCAGGAAGGTCTGCCTGTTCTCCACCTTCTCTCTCTCCTTCGCAAACTCTCTACAAGCGTTACAAAGATGATAGAGGGGCGTTACGTGAAACAACGGGGGATCGTATCGATATAAATACTCGTCTCTTCTTTTCTTTCTTCGTACACACATTTTATTTTTAGTCAGCAATTATCCGAGTTGCTGCGGTGTTCTCTAATTGACACACGTGTCTAGCAAGGATTGTCACACGGTATTACTCGGAATGTTTACGCAAAGCCTGAGGCGTTATAATAATACGAAATATGGCGTTGATATCGGAGGATATACTACTGGCGCGTATGTGGTACGTAGGCGCGTCGACGCGTTACTTTGGCTTTACTACTGCTACTGACTGCTGCTCGTCTACCGAGCGATTTAAACGGCTAGCGCGGCAACAAATTTAAGGAAAGATCGATCGTTTCGAAACCTGCTTGAGTGATCCACTTTAAGTAGGCACTGAACGCAGTCGTGAATAGACGCTTTCTCTTTGCTTTTTGATAAGCCGCCCGCCTCTCGACACGTGTTCGTTCGTTCGAAAACTCCCTGACGAACAGAAAGAAAGGTAATCGGCCGTTTTTTTTTTTCTTTTTTTCTTTTGCTCGAATTGCGACGACCTGACCGGATGTTCGGTCATTCGCACTTCGATCGAACAGAATTCTCCTCGACGCGACGTGACGAATCCACGAGGAAACCTCTCTACCGACGTATCGCGGTATATTTTACACGATTCAATGATTTATTGCAATGCAAATATTTCATATTTTTACCGTGGATTTGTCACGCCCTCACAAAAGAATTTCGTAAGTTTGTAAACCAAGATATATATATATATATATATAGAGAGAGAGGAAACGTACGAGAAGAAGGATGGCAATAATCGAGACTGAAAATACTCACCCGCTCAGGACACCAAGAACTAAGTTCAGCATGAAGAATGAGCCAAGGACGATCAATGGTATAAAGTAAATCCAGTTGTACGTGCTGCCAAGAGCGTCGTTTGTCTGCAAATTTGACCAGAGCCACGTGAAGCCCATGTGTTACGTGTGCGAGCGCGAGTCACCGATTCCACACAGTTGTTACGCGCATCGATCGCGATGATCGAAACCAAACATCATTGGCATACGACATATAGACATCGAGACACTTAACGCTTCGCTTTCCCGCTTACTTTGCCCACTACTAACGTTTTCTTTCAAAAATGTATCTCTAAAGGTTGTTTCTCTAAAGGTGCATCCACACTTGTTACTTCTTAGAAATTCGTTCGAGGGATCCGTTCATCAAATCGACCAAATCAAGTAACGAATCATAATATATAGTAACAAAAATATCGCCTGTATTTTCTACAAAGATATTTTTTACTTACTGTGGTCGTATAGTGAGCAATGGTAATAATCTGGATGCATCTTAAAGAATCTAAGTTCGTTGTTAAATTTTCTTCGAAGAAACAGCACTGACTTTCCTCGCCGTGAAAGCCAATTGCTTTTTCAAGTCGTTAGGATGGAAATCAAGATACACGCTCATTGATTAGTACACTGGTCGTGCAGGATTACGAATCGCGCGTTACAAGACTATAGCTTACGACACAACACTCAAGATGACACAATGATAAAAAAAAAAAAAAAAGGAAAGAAAAAAAAAAGAAAAATAACCTGTAACATTTTCGTAGACAACCGCAGTGCCATTTCTCGCGTAATAATAGGCATGTAATTGAAAGGTACGACTTGTCAAAAAACAAAGAATTTCTATCGTACCGTAAGATCCAAGATATCGATCATCGTGCGCGGTCCAAATCGAAGAAATTCAAGATCCTTGATCGAGGGTTGCCACGCGGTTTGAAGTTCTTCGATTTGCGCTGGCGCAAAACGCGAAGCTTATAAAAAAAAAAAAAATGCAATTAACATCAAGATTTGCAAAGAGGGCTGAAACTGACAGTGTTATACTGAGCAAGGTGAACATGTAGGTCAGTGTTAGCTGTAAAACATCTGCAAGCACTTCTCTTCGATTCTGGTGAACAAGAATGAAACAGGCGGAAGCGAGATGTCATCGGGCAGACAAAGAGAGAGAAAGAGAGAGAGAGAGAGAGGAGAGAAAAAGAAAGAGAGATAAAGTGAAGAGGAAGAGAGACAAGTAAACACGGGCACACAGATAAGATAATGATCGACAAGGATAGAAAAACTGTTACGAAGAGATGACACTTTATGATCACATTTAGAAATTTCAATAGAGGTAATAAGAAATAGTGAACGATGGCAAGCAGTTGAAGAAAGAGTATACATACATATACATTGACAGTTAGATAGAGAAAATGGGAAGTATTCGTCGAATCGAATCGACCACTTGCAACGACCGGTCGTTTGCTCTTCTTGGTGAAACCAAGAAGATTTTTGTTCGTAGAACGGAGTGACGAGGTTGATTGACGAAATGAATGAAAGAACTTTGCCGAAAGGAAAGAAGAGAGAGAGAGAGAGAGAGAGAGAGAGAGAGAGAAAAAGAACGAACGACGGATGCAAGTAGGAAAGCAAAGGGGGTCGACTCGACGTGGAATGAAGGAACACGAAAAACGAAGAGAGAAAGGATCCGACGTCACGGAGGTGAGAGATTTACATATAATATAGGGAAACAGAGAGAAAGAGAGAGAAAGAGACAGAGAGTTTTTAACACTGAAGGACATATCTCTTGCTTTACCCAGTACAATATGGCAGTCCAGCCCTCCATAGTGATGCACTGGAAGACAGTGAGCATGGCGAATCCGATGTTGTCGAAGCTGGTGATGCCGAAGTTTGGTCCCTCCCAGTGATCCATGCACGTCGAGATGTTCGCGTCGCACACGTGGGCCCCGAATGGCGCCTCGGATTTGTTGTCCGTGTTACACGGGCTCGCCTGTTCGCCCTCCTTCACGATATCATCTACAACAGAGTGAACGTCAGACCAATCGGCCCTCATTGATTTCCTTCTTTCCTTCCTTCCGTTTTCTTTTTTCTTTTCTTTTCTTTTCTTTTCTTTTCTTTTTTTTTCATTCACAACGATCGCAAGTGCTTGAGAGCTTGAGATCGCTTCCCCTTCACGGCTCTTGTTTTCCCCCGAACGTACCGAACGAAAGAGAAGGAACGCTTCTCTCCACACGGATTACTCACTGATATTTTTGATGCTGTAACACGTTTTATGCAGGGTTCCCGAATAGAATTCGAGCCCAATGATGGCGAATATCACGATGGCAAAGAGTACCAGCAGGCCGATCTGCAGAAGCGGCGCCATTGCCTTGATAATAGATTTGAGCACCACCTGGAGACCTGTTTAAAAAAAATTCGACAGGAGTAATTAGGTCCAACGACCGCGCCATCCAAGCGATTCATGCCTATCATTTTATTCTCTTTTCACTGATTTCGCGGCTCTTTTGATTTCTCCTCGCTGCTCGGGGAAACATGCGTGCCACGTATCTTTACATTTTCTTCCAAGCTCCCGAAACGACATCGACTCTCCCGATGAATTCCATTTGCGTTTAAAAAGATGCGTTCGTGTTGTCGATACAAGGATCCACGGCGGCGCAAACAATTGAGATACTTCGTTCTTGTTACATAAAGACAGCATACAACTTTTAATATATGTATATATGTATATATATATATATCTATTTGGGTGGTGCTACGTAAAACAAAATAGTCCTTCTAACGTTGCAAGGCATCTACGTGTAGATATATAAATATAGAAATATACTTGCAATAATATTAGTACTACAATTGATCTACGAGCTTTTACGTTTGAAACGTTTAAGTTGTCGTTTCGCTCGTAATCGGGTCTACGTAGCAGCTATTAATAAATGGAAACATGTCGAAGAACGGATCCGTTCGACCCCGAAGTATCCGAATTGCAGAGGTGGGAAATTGGAACGCGCGTTCCTCGAGCACCGAGCCTCACATTTTCGCGTCTTCCTTTAAGAAAAGAATTAGCTCGCTCCGTATACCGAACGGAATCGAACGTACAACATACTTGAATTTTTAACTGCGATTTACTTTCTAACTGCGATTCGAGAATGAATCGGCCAATTGAAAAGTGCCAATTTCGCCATGAAAAAGTACATGTTTGATCGTAAGAACAGTTGACAAAGATAAGTATCAAAAACGACGAGACAGTGAGACCAAAAAAAAAAAAAAAAAAAAAAAAAAAAAAAAAAAAAAAAAAAAAAAAAAAAAAAAAAAAAAAAAANAAAATTGTACAAAAAAGAAAAAAAAAAGGAAAAAAAAGAAAAAAAAATGAAAGAAAAAGCCGTTTCGTTCGATTCGGCTGGATTTTCATGGCCGATTGTATTGAAACGCTACTCACTCGGTATGCCGGAGACAAGTTTGAGCGGTCGCAACACGCGTATCGCACGCAACGTGCGCAGATCCATATCCAGTTCTATGCCTTGCGAGAACGCCGTGATGAACCTGCCCCAAAACACACACACCCCGCCACACTTTACTACTTACTACTCTATTACACTAATACTCACGCTACTTAAGTACTTAATCTACACAACTATGTGGTAACTAGCGTTCTATGACCTAACCAATGGAAGATGGGAGAATGTCTAATCGGGGACCGATATATCTCCGTTTCTCTTTTTTTCTTTTTTCTTCTTTTTTCTTTTTTTCTTTTTTTCTTTTTTTTTTCTCTTCATACACATACGATTCGAAATCAATTTTATTTCAATGTATCAACTAAACGTTAACTAAACCACATCTAAACTATGTACGTATGTAGGTCGGATGAACGACGGATGAAATTCTATGAGGGGCAACTTTTAATCGCGACTATATTCTAAATTGCGTCCCAATAAGCGGATCCGATGTACGTTCAAAAGTCCTCGCATATTTCTCTGTTACTAATTACGTTAATAATTTCAGTGTCAATAATACTGGACCATAATACTGGTAATACTATTTTCCTAATTTCGAAGCAAATGCAACAACTGTTCGAGTACTTTTGTGCAACTTTCACGCGAATATCTGCGTTCAACGTCGATCGATGATGACGGGGGAGTCAAAGTTAACTTCTCCGACCGTCGTCAGTCGTACAATCGAATCCAAAGACAAAAGTTTGACTCTCGATTCTCCTAGCGTCGGATTAGCTTATCGAATTAGCGCATCGGTGGATTACTCCTTAAAACTGTGATCGCGGAAGGGACGGAAAACGGTTTCGAGGTTCAATCAAATTCGGTTTAATATCGAAAGCATGGCAGCGAGCTGACGAAACGGAGTAACTACACTAACGGATTAAATATTTTAACGATTTCTTTCATCCAAAGAGTTTCGACACTTGGATAGAGAGGAAATTCTTATTAGCTACTCACGCGAGATTCTAATTCTAGATGGCGTTGAATATAATCCCCTACTGACTATAACTTTAGTACCACGAGGATAATAAACTTAACATCCGTCGCGGTCGTTCAACTCGCTATAAAGCTTACCAATACGGTCTCTCTCGATTGTACAGATCGATGGATCGTTTCGTTCGAACGTCTTCTTCTGTTTCGTTAGAAACGACCACGACGGATTCTCGACAGCATTAACAACCTAAATATAATGTATCTACGTAACTACGATTGCCTAATCCCTAAAGTATACATCGCTAATCATTTGATGTTTATCAAAGTCAAAACAAGAAAGTTTCCCATACTGTAGAATTTGCATTCTTCGTCAAATCTTCGTAACATCGTTGTCAGCGTGGAAGAAAAATTGATTTCATTCTCGAACAATTACATTTGCAATCTTGTAACTTTTCTTTTTACAAGAGGCGCTCAAATTTATTACTTGTTTGTTTGCTATTTGCACATTCCAATTCACGTTTCTGAAATAAATCGTGAGGAGGCGGGGGGGGGGGGGAGAAGAAAATTTTGAGGATCCGCAATTAAAAGGAAAGCAGACAAGAGAGAGGATATCTCGGTCGAAGTCTAAGTCTGTAGGACTATGACTCAGTCTCTTGAGGGTGTCTAAAGGTACCACTCTCTAGCAAACACGAGCTTGCTCGAATACGTTACTGTTCTAGAACACGTACCTATTTACCAACGTATAATCAATTCTATCAATCAGTGACTGTGACTAAAGATAGAGTTTGCTAAATATAGAGACACCTGCAGGCCAGTAGTTCTGTGTTTTTTTGCGTGTGTATATGCATATGCGTATCAATTTTCGTTTTAATTTTCCAGCCGAAACAAAAACAATTGAAAATAATCGTTTCGCGAGTTCATGCATTATCGAAGATGGAAAAATCGCTAATACCACTTGCATCGGTTAAATCGAATTTTTCAATATTGTCGACTCGTTTTTTATTTCGATGTTTATCGCATCGGATACAAGTGTACGATACGGCGTTTTCACGGAATTTTCAATACGTCCGACGTAATAGCAGCGTTTGAAAAAAAATTCAAACGGCGAGTTGGAGATACCACGTGGCACGTTACGAAAGATAACTTTCCCTCTCCCAATGAAAAGCCAAAGATTTCACCGACGACTCGATGTGCCCAATATATATATATAAAACTGTATGTTCCGTGTGTTACGTAGATAATACGTACTTGCATGAGTATATATGCGCGCGCGCGCGCGCGCGCGCGTGCGTGTGTGTGTAATTCGTCGACTTTAAAACTCTCTAAAAGTACGAATAACGTGTGCACAAAACTGAACATAACGACAGAAGATATAGAGCAAATATAGTAACGCAATATAACACTAGCGACTAATTCACGCAATCTCCTCTATATAGAGACAATAGAATATTAATAATACGTATAGATATATATATGTATAATGTATAAGACACTCGAATTACGCAAACCACGTGGACACAGAATATATAGACATTATGTATAATTAATACCGATCATCAAACTGCCAACGATCATCTAGCGTCAATCAACTGTTTCTAATACACCCATAGCCTCTAAGTGATAGTCAATCAACGATAAAAAAAAATGGAACGCTCAAACGACGTGAAAGACGTGTGTAAAATAATCGGGGTGAACTAAAAGAGGAAACTAAATGGATACAAACTAATAAATCTGTAAAGACGGAAACGTATATAAAAGATCTCAAGATATACGCAAGATATTGTAAATTAGCTGATGCTGGTTTCGCTTGCCAGAACTAAACGTCGACCCAACGTGTCAACTAAAGCAAAAGAGACAGAGAGACAGGGAATGAAAGAGACATATAGATAGACAGATAGATAGATAGATAGATAGATAGATAGATAGATAGATAGATAGATAGATAGGTAGGTAGGTAAGTAAGTAGGTAGATAGATAAAGTGACAGAGTAATAGAAATAGAGAGATAGCGATAGTGAGACAGGGATAGAGAGAGAGAGAGAGAGAGAGAGAGAGAGAGAGAGAAAGATTAACTGACAGAAAAACTAAATGGTCGACGAAAAACTAACAATAAATGTGTCTGATTAATCAAGAAACGTATATAAAACTAAGGAGACTAGTCGAACGCACAATAAACTGCCAGGATCAACGGGGGATTAGTTAGTTAATTAGTTAGTTAATTAATTAATCTGCTGCTCGACTGTTCTCTGTTACTGCACTTTGTACTGTTACTTATGGCGTTTGTATCGTTTGCCGTTTCGCAGAACTGTGACTGACTCACTTGGAATTTTCGAAACCAGCTTTAGCGGTCTGAGGACCCTGAAGGAACGTAGCATACGCAGGTCGACGTCCACGTTTGTTTCGGCGAACACGGTCATCGACCTAATCCAAGGATTACTCTAGAATCTATCTGCTCGACCGAAAGAAACCGATCGACGTGCGATCTCCTTATATCTTAAATCAGTGCGGAGAAAGATCCTTTCCTTTCCATCGTCGCTTTCCAATTTCTGCGAACATTCGGCCGCGGGCAAACGTTTGACGGATGTTTCAACGTCGAATTCAACGAAATCAAAATGAAACACGACGCAGCGAACGATGGAGAAAGAGACTTTCTCCGTAAACAGGGCTCCTCGAGGCGAGCGCAATCGGGGGGAATAAGAAGTCATCGTTTAACGCGAAATCATCGAATCGGAACGTAACGCGGTGGAAAATCGATCAAAGCCTGACCAAATAACATTCTCCTCGTCCACTGTTTTCCTCTCCACGTGTTTTGCTTCGCTCGAACACGCTAACTGTGTTTCGAGATGAAGTGAGTGCGCGTGGTGCACTTCCAGCGAATGATAGACAGACAGAAAGATGGAGAGATGGAAAAATATAGAAATAGAGGCAGATAGATAGTTAGATAGATAGATAGATAGATAGACAGAGAGAGAGAGAGAGAGAGAGAGAGAAAGAGCGAGAGAGAAGAAAAAGTGGAAAGAGCAAGAATGCGCTCGTTCGTTTGCACGGAGGAGAAGAACACGAGGAGATGGAGAATGAAATGATAAGTGAGCTCGCGGTGAAACAAAGTAACGAGAAAAATAAAGGGAAACGAAAGTACGTAAAACTTGAGTGATGAGCTTTTGCGAATTTTTACCGGAGGAGAAGATCCCTCTTCTTCGTGTTCCCGGATTGTTCCAGACGTCTCATTCCGTCTTGTGGAAATCGATCAACGAGCCCTCCTGCGCTCGGCAGACCGAACGCACGGGGAATACGAAAAAGCGGGATCTATCGTCGTCAAACATTGTGCCGAAGAAGAAAGGGGATAGATTCGGTAGAAATGTAATAGTAGAAAATGGTTCGCTCACCCGGTCACCACGACGAAGAAATCCATGATGTTCCAGATGTTGCGCAGATAGGAGCCACGGTGGAGGACGAAGCCAAGGGCGAGGATCTTGAGGCTCGCCTCGACGCAGAAAATCCCGAGGAAGTAGATTTCTGTGGCCTCGAGCTTCTGCGCGAGTATGGTTTTGTCCTGCTTCGGCAGGTGCTCCTCGAGGGCGAGGACCACGCAATTGGCGATGATGGTGAGCAGGACGGCGTACTCGAAGGGCGGCCATTCGATTATGAAGCGAGTGTGCTTCCTGATGCAGTTATCCTCCGACAGGATGAACAGCGACGTAGTGCCCTTGCCACCTCCCCCACCGCCACCCGCCCCTCCGCCCTGATCCCGGCCTGGCGCCATGTCCACCAGACCAGGTACCTGTTTACAATTTCCTTCCGTTTAATCTTCCCTTACCCATCCCCCTTTCTCATCCCTCCCCCCACCCCCACCCCCACCCCTTCGACGTTCCACGAACTCTACAAACACAACGAGACCAGAGTCGTTCGGCAATATCTTCTACGTGCTGGCACGTTTCAGCTTCTATTTGGTTGTTTCGCGTTTTCCAGAGGCAGCCGCGCAAATTGTACGTACAAGAGAGAAACGACCGCGTTTTCGCGAAAAAATTGGATTTTTCCTCGCTGCGACAAGGCAGCAGATGGGAAAACAGATACTGCTTCGAGGGCAATGTCGCGCGGCAAAGGAAAGGAACGAGAACGTACGGACTGGACACAGAAAACGGCCCACAAGAACGATACGATCAACGAATATTTTTCTCGGACGGTTTTCCCCAAGTTCGCTCTTACCTCCCCTCCAAAGCTAGTCCAGTCACCGAGACCACTCAGTCCGGCCAACCTCGGCCTTCTCCTGTACTGACTCGCGTATCCAGGGTCCCTTTGTGCCGCCTCTTGCGCTGCCAACCTGTAAAGCACGCAAGATGAAAGGTGTTTGCCGCCGAGAGAAACTGAAAGCAGGTTATCGAGCACGCGTATGTGACGGTACATCGTGCCGCTACCAGACGATACGAATCGATTTTGCAAACTTTTGCGGCGTGTCACCGGCAAACACGGAAACGAAATACGCGATCGCGAGAAATGGACGCGGATCGCGCTTAGCTTTCGCGTGATACGCGACATTCAACCAGCAATTTTCGAAAAGAGATTCCGTCTGCCGAGATAAGAAATACAAAGTCACGCTACCGAAACATCGCGATGCGACAAAATGCGCGAGTGTGTATATATATATATATATAAAAGAATGAAATTATTTTTTCAAGAGTGTAGAATCGCCTGATCGGGTGGTGATCGTCAAGCGTTTCGCCAGGGAACTTGTTAATGGCCGACGCGAACGTGTAATACGTCGCTGGAACTAATTAACTACATTAGCCGAGACTTTTGCAACTAGGATTCTGCTCCTAAGCGTCTCCTGGCAGGAAAGTGCAATCAAGGTAGCTGGTAATGCAATAACTCGCGACAAGGATACCACCAGGACATCCGTGGTGCATTTTGTTGCGTGCCGCATGCTTTCGAGCACGCGCTCGAACCTCGGACAAGATTGCATCCTATTCGTCGGGCCTTAATTCTTTATTCTGCTGCACGTTCATGAACAAAATATGGTCAACTGTCAACATGGTGTAACGTGATCAAACACTTCTTCAACGCATTCCCTCAACTATTATTTTTTTCTAATTCATCGAACTAGTTAGCTAACAAAAAAAAAAAAAAGTTGATTGCTGAATTTGCACAACGTGCGAAAGAATATATTCTTGATCGACCGTAGTTGCACTTGGGATCTTCCTGGAAACCCACTAAAGTGCTCCTTAAGTTCTGAGACTGTCGGAACGCCCGATGCCCTTCATTCTATAACGAGAGTATAATCGAATAATGCATGATTTCTAATAGTGAGCAGTTGGCTCTTTTAAATAGTATCTTCGTTTTATTTGGTTTTATACTAAATTAACATTCAGCGTTGATATCGAAATTTATTCAATCATCGTCGCGTATATCTGAGCATCCTTTTCCACGTGTTAGCTTGGCTCGCGATTATCTTTCTTGATTAAACAGCTTTGCATCATTCGCAAGTTGATAGGAATCGCAATGTCAGAGAATTAAAAGAGACTCGACGAGTACTATTAAATCTGACAAAATTACGTAAATAAAAACATCGTAATTCAACATTGTATTATCTCGACCATATTCGATTAACACGTTGACACATGTGGCTGATACTTTGATGTTATATTAGAAAGTGTGCACCATCAAATGTATAGTTTGTTAAATTCGTTTGGTAAATAAAAAAAAATCGCCATATAGTTGAAAATTAGAATTAGAAGAATTTAAAGTGTATTTATTGAAATAAAGCAGGATTTATTTAATTTTAATTCAATAATTATAAATACAACTGATGATTAATTAAGTGATAATTTTTATTTGTAATAAGTAATTAATAATTTGTTTTTCTGTAATTTTTTAAAACATTCCAAACAGTCTTTCTCTGAATCAGAGTCGGAATATTCTTCCCCCGTGGTGTATTCATAAGATTCATTACCTAACGATTCATCTTTCTCGTTTGAAGAGGATGAGAGTATTATTGAACTTAATCTTTTTTCCGGCTTGCAATTATAAATTCATCAGACGAATCATCTATTTCCATATCAATGTTATCCATACTCTAATGGACAAAACTTAACAAAAAATAAAAAATGCTAATGACTGTTGCTTATACATTTACTTACTACTCTGTTGCGATTTGCTTGCACACTATTTCACTTCGCGTTCGATGAATGTAGAGATTCGCGGAATTCTTAACAATCCTTCGTAACGAATGTTTGATATTCTTGCGCTAAAAACCCAATATTAGAAAAAGTAGCAACAGAAATGGTTATCGTTGCCAAAAAATTTCACATTACACTTTGCAGCGCCGACGTCAACGTGTTAACGCAAAATTTCTTCAGAATCAGAAGACAATTAATCACGATGGCTTTAAATTTGATCTCTAATCGGCAAATTTCAAATAGTGGTTTTTAACGACAACGAATGAACTTTTCTGGAAATTGTGCACCGTGATTCTATATGTGAAAATTAGTATTTTCGTGTATATATAAGTATACCAAATTTGAATCTCATTTGCAAGCCGAATGAAGTTTTTACTTCATGCTTTAATCTTTTCATTCTTTTATTTGTATTATTTTAATAAAGTTATTTTTTGATTGTATAGCGTATATTCTGGTTTCAACATTTATTTTAATAATATAAATAAATTTCAAGCTCTCGAAAAGCTAAACAATATATAATTTTTATATATTTTTCAAATATTATATATATTTACCGTAATATTATATATATTTATCCCAAATATTATTATATATTTACAATATTATTATATATTTACCATTTCTATGCGATATTCTGGGATAGATTATGCAAAATTGTCTCGTCGATCAACGTATTAAATTGACTATCATCTATATCTTCTTTGAATTTCTTTTACATTTTTTATATCTCATAGCAAATTTTGTGGCAGTCGCGGTATTGAGTTTCAACAATCCTCTGATTGGTGTTTGGCTAATAATAATTTCAATACAAAATGCAATAAAAACTTCTTATATACAGTGCCTTATATGCAGTATTTTCTACGAATTCATTACAAACATAAATGAAATGTTCGAAACACGAGAGCACGCGCAATCTCATTGATCAATTATATAGTCATCTAATTTAATACACTCAGCCGCAAATACGAAGTTGGTTGTCGATGCAAGAAATAATTTGCTACCCACGCTGACCTCGTACATGTAAAACGCATCAACACGACATTATCAGTCAGCCACAGATGTCGTAATAACAGTAACAACGTTACCTATCGATGTCGCAATGATCGGTTGTTATCATTGCGGTATATAGTACCGATTGTGATCGGTTATTGCATTAACACGTAATTAAGCGTGTCGAAACGAGAAGATTCATTTTCAGATGATGATCGTTCTACATTCTGACCTGAACATTTCTTCAAAACCTGTTTCCTCGACGATAAATCGTCTTTTTCTTTCCATACAGAATCTCTCGGATAAAATGATTAGAGGCGAAAAAAGCGCGACTAAATTGAAACCGACTTCTTGCCAGAGATTGCCCGTTCGTTCGTCTTTCCGACCGGTCTGAATTATTAAAATCGAAGCGCGAATAATTGATCGAACGTACTCCATAATGGTAAGATCGATAGTACTCTCGAAAATGAGCTAACATAAACCGCTTCCGAATAACTTAACAGCGGAGAACGATGTAACGTATCGCCAAACATCGCTCGCTCCTCGTTCGAGCCACCTCAAATGATTGTTATTCCAGCAACAGGTACAACCTATTGCTGATTACGCATGGTCGGAAACTTTCGGGATTTAATTGCTCGGATTCGTCCCGAAAGTCGGAATCATTCTTGCCGTCAGACAAACCAAAACTTAAAAACACACATACAGTCGATAATTGATCTCAAAGAACATCGTGGCTTCGAGAAATTCACGATAAAAATTGTGACCTGATGCGAGATTTCTTAGAGTTTCTCGGTTCGCCATACCATACTCTCGTGCTCGAAATTGCGAGAGGCAAATTAATTTCACGTCGGCGAGCTAAAAATTCCAAGTTAAAAACCCGTGGTGAAGGTTAATCGCGATTTATGCGAAGCAACGTCCAAAAGGACTTTTTACAGGTTACCGAGCGACAATTCGGAGCACCAAAATCCGTGCCAAACTCTCGTGTCGCCGGCCACCCGTGTTTTTTATTCGCGGTAATTAATACGAGAACCCTTTCCTCTCTCTCTCTCTCTCTCTTTTCGATACGTTTGCCTTTCCAACGATCTCAATCGTTTCGTTCGCGCACACTCGATCCCACCCCGTCTCCTTTTGAATATTCACGACTCCAGTCTTTTTCCGAATGATGTGGAACAGAGTTGGCAGACTCATCGCCAGTGGGATCAACGAACTCGAAAACGTTCCATCGCGATCGAATTCCCGCAAAAGCTTGATTCTATCGAGTACATTCGACGCTGTGGATTCTGTAGAATTGACCAATACACATCATCAGTGTAACCATGTACTAACCAACGATAGAACCTAAAGTCTGGTTGACTGTAACTAATGATACTGATTAATCGCGTGATTTAAATTTCGTTTTCACGATACGGGCAAACTTCATAGATTTTCGATGTAAAAAGTGATAAATTATCAAATGGAACAAAGAAACGTAGAAATGCTCTATTCTCGCACAAATGCCGCAACTCTTACTAATTGAATCGACGAATGTCCAGAGCTTACAAATTTAGTTTAGAAAAAATTACAGAGAGATACGAGGATACGTTACTGACTGAGTTACGATCTAAAAAGAACCGAATATTCGTGAACCGATGACGGTGGACGAAGGCGCACGCAAAAATAATTGGCCTTCGATTCCAGATCGTGAACTAACGAGGGAGCGGCCGCAAGGGAAGGCCATTTTTTTCATCTTCTCGTAGGTATAAATATGCGATATCGAATTTTCCAACCCGAGCCATCACGAAAAGACATGTGAATTGATCAACCATAATATTCGTCCATTTCGATCATCGTACGTGATTCGAATTTATAAGACAATTACACATTACATCATATAAGACAATCATTTAAATGCGACGAGAGAAAACAATCTTGTCTAGCATTCTAGTTGGTGGTGAACCGTTTCAGCGTCAAGAAACATTAGTGTCTATTCGCAACAACTGGGACGGCACTTAAAAGTTTATTATGGCTCATCAGTTATCGACGATACTTCTCGAGAGTTATTAATATCTTTCGGGAAATCAATATGAAAGACGTGACGCCGCGCTATAACGGATCTCCTTGAAAATTGTTGTATCAGTGTGCATGATTCTCACGTTAACCCTTTCAGAAGTCGTTTAAT